GGACAAACGGGAGAACCAAGATTCGTAAGTACGAGTACGAATTTTGGTTTTTGTTTTTTTTTTAATATTTTGGAACGGTTTACTAACCGTTCCTTTCTTTTTTCTTTTATAGGTTCGGGTGGGCTTCCCAAGAACGGAAAAACCCAAAGATTCGTAAGAATCTTTATTTTTTTTCTTTCTTTGTTTATTATTATGAACAATTTACTAACCGTTCTTTCTTTTTTCTTTTATAGGTTCGGGTGGGCTTCCCAAGAACGGAAAACCCAAAGATTCGTAAGGTATGGTACGAATCTTAACTTTTTTTATATTTTTTTATTATTAAGAATGGTTAACTAACCGTTCTTGTATTTTTTTTTATAGGTTCGGGTGGGCTTCCGAAGAACGGAAAACCCAAAGAATCAGTAAGTTTTGAATAAAACACGTTTTTTATTTTTATTTTTTTTATTTTTTTTTAATTTTCTCTTTTCTTTTTGTAGGTATCGATTCTTTCGGCTTTGGGATTTGGATATGCCGATATGGTAAGTTTCGATATTCGAAACTTACATTTTTTTAATTATTTTTTTTAATTTTATTCTTTAAGAAACGTTCTAACTGAACGTTTCTCTTTTTTTTGTAGGCCTAGATTTTCTTTTCGGCGCTCTGGATTTTTCTTTTGTAGGTCAGCTTGATGGTTATTTCGACCCTTGAGCGAATGAATAATGGAAGATAATTCCTCAATAATCAATGTGAATATTAAACCACTTGATGTTGTTAAGACACATACGACGAGATTTGGTTTTGATTTTTATCATGAAGGAGCATAATATTAATATAATTATCGAGGGAAAGTTCATATTTCCACCTTGTTATGGTTGTGTCACCAGGGGTGCTATGTCAACGGAATTTTAGTACGTTGATCGCTTAAAAATCCGCGGCAATCCAATTATAACAAGAGGATGAATTTTTACAATTTTACATGATTAGATATTGTATTTGTATTGTACTGTATTCTATAAATAAATTTACAATGTTTTACAATTTAAAAATTTTAAAATATACACGTTAATAATATACAATAATATATATGTTAATAAATTACTAATACTACAATTAAAGTTAACTATCGTACGATGACTAAAAAATACCATTGCTACCGTTGCTATACGTGTTTTTAATATCAATATACGCGTTTTTATACATTGTATACGCGTTTTTAAACTATCGTTGTTTTACTATGTGTAGCTTTACACTTAAATGGGTGTTGTTTTACACGTTTTTAAACATTTTTAAGTGGTGTTGATTGACAAAGATTTCGTTTCCCTACGTTTTTTGGCGTTGAGCAACACATGGTGTTTTTCAACACTTTATACGCCTGTTTAAAACTTGCTGATGAGGAAGCACCCAGGAAGCCGTAGACCTACAAAAAGAGAATACCTTAGTAAAACTTCATTAGAAAAAACAAAAAAATAATTGAAGTTTCAAAAGTGAATAAAACTTTCGAAACTTACCATTCCGCCCAAAGATCCCAACTGATATCTACAAAATAGAAAATTAAAAATTAAAAAAAATGAAGTTTCGAAAGTAAATAATACTTTCGAAACTTACTATTCCGCTCAAAGGTCCTAACCGATACATATAAAATAAAGAAAAAAAATTTTAAAAAAAAATAGTTTTGAAAAGAAAATGTTTCTTTTCGAAACTTACCATTTCAAAGACCCTAATCCGATATACAAAATAGAACCAAATAAAATTTTATAAAAAAAGATATTTTTTTTTTTAAAAAAAAAAAAAGTTTCAAAGTGTTCACTTCGAAACTTACCAATATAAAGCCCAAATATCGAACTGATACAACATTAGTAATGGAGCCTAACTTTGGCGCCTAGGATCTAAAAGCATGAAAAATGAACGTTAGTGACGTTCATTAAAATAATTAATAAAAAAAAGAAAAATTTGAAGGTTTTACCTTCGAAATTAAGAGTCTGGAGCAGATCTTTGGCATCCAGGACCTAAAAAAAGACGTTAATAACGTTCATTAAACAAAATTAAAAAAAATTAAAAAAAAATCTGAAGGTTTGTTTTTACCTTCAAAAATAAAGTACGGAGCTGATCTTCAGCATCCAGAACCTAAAAATATGAAAACGAACGTTAGTGACGTTCATTAAATAAAATTAAAGATTCAGAAGTTAATATACCTCCGAATTTCAAAATTATCGATAGGTTCCATGACTTCCATCCGGAACCTATATAATATAAAAAAAAATAATTTTTTTTTTAAAAATAAATTAAGATTCGGAGGTAAGCATACCTCTGAATTCCAAATCATCGATAGGTTCCATGACTTCCATCCAGAACCTAAATAATATAAAAAAAAATTATTTTTTTTTAAATAAATTAAAGATTCAGAGGTAAGCATACCTCCGAATTCCAATATCATCGATAGGTTCCATCCAGAACCTATATAATATTAAAAAAATTATTTTTTTAAAAAAAAAATTAATTAAGATTCGGAGGTAAGCATACCTCCGAATTCCAATATTATCGATAGGTTCCATCCGGAACCTAAATAATATAAAAAAAAATTATTTTTTTTTTAAATAAATTAAAGATTCAGAGGTAAGCATACCTCGGTTACCTCCGAATTCCAATATCTTTGATAGGTTCCATTCAGAACCTATATAATATTAAAAAAATTATTTTTTTTAAAAAAAAATAAATTAAGATTCGGAGGTAAGCATACCTCCGAATTCCAATATTTTTGATAGGTACCTATATAATATAAAAAAATTATTTTTTTTAAAAAAAATAAATTAAATTTCAGAGGTAAGCATACCTCTGAATTCCAAACTAAATCATCGATAGGTTCCATCCGGAACCTATATAATATTAAAAAAATTATTTTTTTTTAAAAAAAATTAATTAAGATTCGGAGGTAAGC